GTAAATGTGTCCATTGATGGCTAAGGTGGCCAATCCTAAAGCCACAGACTCTCTGGCAAATGCCACAGGTGATAGTTAAAGGGAAGGCTGGGCCACAGATTTTTTGGTCTTATTTCCTTTCCTTCTGTTTCTGTCATTTTTCTGCCTCCAGGGCACAATGGCTTTCCTCAAAGTAACACGTCCCATCTCTCACAAAGTGTCTCCATGTAGCCTTGTCCTGGGCTAGTTTTTTCCCCCAATTTCCCAATGTCAATGCCACACTTCTTAATGTTTGCCTTGAGGGTGTCTTTGAAGCATTTCGTCTGGCCCCCTGTCCACCACAAGTGATATTGAATAATCAGCGCTTCTATACTGGTGGTGTTAGTGTCAGTGAAGACACTGGCATTTGTGTAACCATCCTCCCATTTTACACCAAAGATCTTCCAGAGGTAGCACTGGTGATAGCATTCCAGGGTTTCAGGTGGTCCCTGTAGGTCACCTCAGCTTCACAGCCATAGAGAAGAGCTGGTATTACCACAGCCTTCCATAGTACCATCTATATTTGAGTCATGATGTTGTGATCTTGAACACATGATGATACAATCTTCCAAAGGCACAGCTGGCACATTGGATCCTATACTGGACCTCCTCATCAATGTTGGCCTTCTTTGAGAGATGGCTGTTGAGGTATGTAAAGTATTCAACATTCTCCAGCTTCTGTCTGTCAATGAGGATCTTTGCTAGGGGAGTTGATTCACCTAGATCAGGCTAGTGAAGCACCTTTGTTTTTCTCATGCTAAGGCACTGGTCCTAGGCACTGGTATGCTTTAGAGAAGCAGTTAATAGTTATTTATAGGACCTCCTCCTTATGCTAAAAAACAGCACAATCATCAGTATAGTAAATTTCCACAATTGAGGCCAAAGTAACTTTGGTTTTGGCTTGAAGGCAGGAGAGATTGAAAAGGTTCCCATCCATCCTGAACTTGATGCCGTGTGGCAAATGGTCATGGATGAAAAGATAGAAAACAAGATTGGTGCAATCACATATCTGTGCTTGATGCCAGTTCAAATGGCAAATGGCTCCATAGCAGAGCCACTGCCTAGGAAGGAGGCAGTCATCTGCTCATGAAGGAGTCTTAGGATTGTGATAAATTTCCCTGGGCAGCCAAACTTTAATAAGATCTTCCATAGAGCCCCATGGTTAACAGAGTCAAAGGCTTTGGTCAAATCAATAAAGGCCACATACAGTTCCTGGTGTTGTTCTCAGCATATTTCCTAGATTTGTTGAGCCACAGAAATCATGTCCATGGTGCTTCTCAATGATCTAAAAATGCATTGAGATTCAGGAACAATTTCCTCAGCAAAATCAAGCAGTTCAGCAGAACTCGAGCAAGCATCTTCCCAGCAATGGAGAGGAGGAAATATCTTGATAGTTTCCACAGTCAGACTTCTTTCCCTTTTTAAAAATGGTGATAATATTGGCATTCCCTAGGTTGGTGGGAATTTCCTCAGTGTTCCAGATTTTGAGAAACCGTGTAGAGTTCGTTGGTCATAGTTTTCGCTCCAACTTTAAAAACCTCAGCTGGAATGCCATCAGGACCAGACGCATTGTTCTTCATCTGTCTTATTGCTTGGTAGACTTCTCCGGAGGTTGGTGGACTGGCATGCACTTCACTTACTGGATGCTGTGGGATGGATTCAATGGTTTCATCAGTCACTCTCAATTCAGGAGCTTTTGGTAGTGCTCCTTCCAACGGTTTTTGATAAACTCATTGTCTTTGAGGAGTGTACTGCCATCTTCAGACCTAAGTGAGTCTTCAAGAACTTGCTCCATAAACAGCCTTGATTGCACTGAAGAAGCTCTACATGTCATAACTAGGCTGTTCTTATAGCACTTTGCCACAAGAAAGTGGGGGAAAGTAGGTCATATGGACTGTTTACTTGTAGCAAAGTATTAACTCAAAATGGAAACCTAAAGTGGTGAAATTTAACATCAGTTTTGCTGATTCTTTCTGGGATAATTATTCACCAGATTCGGCAAACTTACCTCAGTGCTTTACACTGATGTAATGCTGATTACACATCTGTAAACATTGTGCTTTTGTATCTAAGCTGAAGTTAGGATTTTAGTCTTTTACATCATTTTACATACCTTTACTTATTCCATTCAACTAATTAGGTTGAATTCTCCCTTTTACTGCTGAACTCCTGCTAAGGCCAGATTCCCTTGTGCCTACTATGGAAGAACCCATCACTGTCTGGGGCTTATAGTTCTCAGTTCAATAATTTCAATCTCCTATAATACCACTTCCTTCTTTGCACATCAGTGCCCCAGTTAATATACCTACGATCAAGAAATAAACAATTATTTTCAACATTAAAATTAATTTTTAAACTCCAAAGCACATTTACAAGTCCAAAAGGTTTAGTAACTTACTCATAAAATAAGCATTAATAAAAGCAAAATTATATATTTCAATTTGTTTTTGTTTCAAAAGACTCAGTGAATAAAACAGAATCAGCCTTTTCCAAAAAATATACAAAAGGGCAGATTAAAATGACTTAAGGAGCTATTTGAGTAAAAGCATACTTTACTTTGAATATTTTATCATGCAATACATAAATCATTACAGTAAAACCTGTATAACAAGTTAACTCAGGGGATGGTAGAAAGGTTAAAGTTTAGATAAGTAATAAATGAGAAAAAAAAAATCTTTGCCTCAAGGAAAGGTATTGGATCATGACAAAAATGTTTCATGGAATAGATTTATTGATGCCTTTGAGCAAAAATTTACTAAGGATCTTGTTCATTAGAGGAAAATAAATTTGTGCTTTGGTTCATGCTGTTTCTGCAGTGTTCATCAATATTTTTTCCTAGTCTAGGGCTTACCCCAGTTATCCAAATGTAGGAATTTTTTATTATTTCTTAATACATTTGGCCTTCTGAAATAACAGTGTGTTATGTATCGAGGTTCTTACAAGTTTGGGGACAAAAATAGAATATTTTGCACTGCTAGCATTTTCTGAGTATTTATCTTTAACAAAAAGCTTTTTTGTAAACAAACAGAAATGTTCATGAAATCTCAAGGCATTTCCCAATCACAGTGCACACACAAAATTTCAGGAAATTGGCAGAATGATCCACTATAAAAAGTTGATGAAAATTGCAAATTACCCTTACATTTTTGTCAAGATTCACTCTAAAAACTTTGTAGGAATCCTTAGAAAATTTGTCAAATTCAAACTACAATTACATTTTCTCGGGTTTTTCTAATAAGAAAACTTTATAAACACTCATACAAAAAGAGATAACCTAAAGAATATTTAGAGGATCTGCACTCTAGTTAATATTGAGATAAACTAAGATACTTTATATTCCATTTAGAGTGGGAATCAAAGCATTGCATAGTATATAGTGGAGGGCTGGTGGCTGACCTACAAAGGAACTACAAATTCTGTAACCATGAAGTGAATGACTGTAATACTACATTACTAAAATACCATCGTTTCGTTGGCAGAGCCAAAATTCTAGCAGCTTGAAGAGTCCTTTGAACTTACTAACTGAGTAAACTTGATAGCAAATGCACTTGCATGAATAAATATGGAACATGCCACAGAATCACTTTTCTGACTACAGCCAAACTTCAGCATAAATTCTTGCTTGTTATTGTTCACATGGGAGACAGACAATGACTAGATGAGTGCAGTACTTAGACTACTGAATAGGACTGACAAGTTCCTACAAAGGCATATACAGTACTTATTTTTATTGACTATTAAACAAAATAGTAGTGAACAGAGAAATAGACATGTCATACATGAATCATTGACAGCAGAATAACCAGTTTCTAGCATAATGCTGTGCATAAAACAACAAAGCAAGAAGAAATATCAAGTCTCTTTTCACAAGGCTGACATGCAGTATTTGCATATGTTTGCATTTGCATAAGTCCTATCTATTAGTCATATTCAGGGAATATTTCAATTCACACAAACACAATTGAGTTCAGCCCAAAAGCATGATGCAGCATACTGCACACCATGAGTGACTGGTGCCTCCTGAATCTGATAGGGCACCCACTGAAGTCGCCAATGGCAGTGGCCCTGCCACAGGGGGCACCAGCCATACTTACAGCATCAGTGTCAGCCACTGGGGGGGCACCAGCCCCATCGGGGGGGCACGTGCATGCCCGTTCACCCTCTACCAGTTGCCTATGCTGTACCTTTCACCTAATAACTCAGAGCTCTGGCCTTGGAAATAGAAGCCCTAAGTCCTAGGTTGTCCTCACCAAGAAGGGATTCAAATCCATATCTCCCAAATCTCAAGAAAATACTCAAACCAGGAAGTGAGGCTGGGTATACTGGGCAGACCCTCCATCCCTTTTATTAAACCAGGTCCACTGTGCAGAAAGGAGAAGAAACATACCTCTGTAGCCTAAAGATTAGAACTGAGGGTGTAACCTGGACTATGGCTATTTTGTTTATTTTTTTATTTTGTTTTATTTTGTTTTTTTAAGATAGGCAGACTTGTGAAAAATGAATAAACAGTCCTCTGAAGCAGAGATTTGGACTTGAACTCAAGTGAGTAACCTGAGATATACTGATATTTAAATTATTCCTTCACTTAGAGCAGGAGACAGAAAAATAGTTCTCTAGCCTCATGGTTGGGCCGCAGTTTTAGGAAATGGGACACTTCAGTTCTAATCCATGAACTGCTGAATATTTAATTATTTATGTAAAGCAGAACATCAATGGAACCCCTTACAGCAAGGTGAAAAATGTAAAGTCCCCTTAGTAACAGGAGGAAATTGAACTTAGATCTCACATTCTTGATGAATGTATTAATTGCTAAGCTGTTGAAAAAAAAGGAAAAACAACTCAAAAGGGAATAACAACTCTTGTGGAAATCTAGCCTTGTTCCTTTTGCTTTTCTGACAAATGCCTAATAATGAAATGCTTTCTTTCACATCAAATGCTGCACTTAGTTACCAAACTGAAGAGTCAGACACCCACAAAACCCTCACTAGCAATAAATTTACACTTAAAATAGAGGGGATGGGTAAAAAAAAAATAGCCCTTGTGCTTCTGACTAAGAATTTTGGATCACCTGTCTGTTTTTGGTCTGTACTGGTTTGCTTTGCTTTGCTTTTTGTTTTTAATCAAAGAAAAAGAAAATAGCATAAAGAGACAATCCCTTACTCTATAGGACACAATCAGTCTTCGAGATATATATCCCACTATGCCTTCCATCAGAAGCTAAACACAATGCAGTTATTCCACCCCTGCCTCACCGTATCTAAAAGGCAGGGTAGATTTTCATCTTATTAGCCAAAGCTTACTTCATCAGATACTCTGAAAGAACACCTCTCACCTTCTCTAGTCATTTCAATGTAGAAAGTTTTTCCTTCCCTTATAGATGGTAGTATGGGACAAATGTTCCTTACTTTACTAGTGTCAGCCAAACTTCTTTGGGTAGATGTGATATATTTTCTTAGACTAACTGAGTAGTTGAAAAAATTTTTTTGAAAGCCTTCAGTCAGAAGCACCCTTATTCAGGCATAGGCAGTCTCTGCTGTTCTGAGATCTCCAGGGAATAAAAGAAGCTAAAAATGTGACAGGATGTCAGTGAAAATGTAAATAAGTGGAAATTAGGAAAACAAAGGGTAGGAAGGGAAGAGAGGGGAAGAAAGGAGGAGGAAATAATGCCAAAGGTAAGTAAGGGAGACTCTACTGTAGTTGAATTCTCCAAGGTAGAAAAGCTGCAGCCTGTGAAAAAGTAAATAGCCGAAAATTAGGAAGACAAAAGGTAGAAAAGAAGGGGAGGGGAGGAAGGTGGGAGGAAGGAGAAAAGTGTAAACGGTAAGGTCAGCCAGGCACCTGGTGAATCAGTTGTCAAGCAGGTTGTAATGTGTCATAAATTCAATGTCTATATTGAGTCCATGATTTTTTGTACCCAGTAGATTTATGAAGTAAACTTTGTAGGCTCAGCTACAAAAAGTGTTTTGTAAGTTCCCTTTGAGGATTAGGACTGAGAAAATCAGAGAGGGAGTGATTGTCTTGTGAAAACTGTGCCCTCACAGATAACTGGATATTTTTGTCTTTGATGGGTTTTCCGTGTGTATTCATTCTGGTGCACAGTTGTTGTTTGGTTTCTCCTACATATTTTCCATCAGGGCATTTGGTGCACTGGATGAGATGTATAACATTTCTGGAGGTGCAGCTGTAAGATCCAGAAGTGGTGATGGTTCTGTTGTGGGGTGTACTTATTGTGGTAGTGGTGATTAGGGCTGTTCGAAGCTTCGGTCCCTGATTTGATTCAGCAGAGATTCGGCCCAATTCGGTGGCTGAATCTCAAAATCTGAATCAAATCAGAGGACCCTTTAAATCTCTCTCAGTTGAACCAGAACCCTCTGAATGGATTCAGAGAGATTTCAAAAGATTCAGCAATTCAGACAGAGACACAGCTTTAAATATTTTTTCTACATACCTCTAAGTAGCAGGCAGTTCATGAACACTGCGATACTGGGGTACATGCAGCATCCCACAGAAGCATGAGGGGCTCCCCAGCATGCTTGGCAGCAGGACCAGAAGTGGACCAGAAGCACTTCTGGTCCACTTCTGGGTCCACCAGTAACTAGTGGCTCCTGGGTCTGGGTGGGGCCCCTGGGGTCCCCCTGTGGCCAATTGCCGAGCTGGGGGAGCCCCAGCATACTCCCCAGCAGACCCAGAAGTGGACCAGAAGTACTTCCGGTCCACTTCCAGGTTCACCATTGAGCACAGAGGGCCCTCCCACACTCCTGTGGGATGCTAAGCATCGAATCTTCAGATTTGGATTCACCCATATAGAATCAGGTACAGTGACCAAATCACTGAAGAGAATTACTGGCCCCAGTCCAAACCTGAATCGAATAGGGCCCAATTCACACACCCCTAATGGAGATGTGTTGGCAGGTTTTGCATTTCTTGTCCTGGCCTGGTCTGTATCCATTAGGTATGGTTTCGGTCATAGAGAGTTTGCTTCTGGTAATGAGGTTAGCAAGGTTTGGTATTTGTTTAAAGGCTAGGATGGGTTCTCTTTAGTAACAGTGTCTTCTTCTAGTATGGGTTGCAACTCTTTGAGGATTTTCCATGCAGGTTCCAGGGAAGGCTGGTATGTCATAATTAATAGTGTGCAATTCATGGGGATTTTCTTGTTCTACTGCAGCAAATCTCTGCATGGTATCTGGGTGGCTCTTTCAAAATTACACTCTCTCTGTCCTGAGGAATGACCTTGTTCAGTGAAGGTCCATTTGAGCTTTGTGAGGTGGTGAACATAGGTATTCTCCTTTACTATACTTTGCTAGTAGGAGAAAGAAGAATTTCTTTGTTCTTTAATGTCTTTTAAATTAACCATTGCCTTTTCCCATTTTGCAGTTCTAGTTATATATTTATAGTCCACTAAAAATACTGTTAGATAATGTTGTGCTTGCTTTGTTGTGAATGAGTATAAATCATGCAGATAAGCATGAGAAGACTTTAAACTGTAACTGAAATGGATGTAAAAGAAAAATGGCATAGAAATTCATTTATGAAAACTTTCCAGCAGTTACATTTTATGACCATCTAATGGTATGGGATATGAAGAAAGGCTTCATTATAATTCATCTAAGCAAATTAAAAATATAAAAAGCATTTCTTACTACACATTTTAAGGTGAAGTCTACAAATTCAACCTTTTTCCACAAGGACTGGGACATAAATTACACATAAAACAGTGTGGCAGGGACAATGCCACGAAGAAAAACTTATCTGAAAAGGAAGAGGAGCAGAGCTGACGAGACGCCCCTGCGAATTGGAAGTGTGATGAAAGCAGGGCCATGGCAGGGAAAAATGCTGCAGTGAAGATGGAAGAAAAAAATTGCACTGGGTCCAGGGAGAGCCAGGGCCAGCACCAGCACCAGCACGGATCTGCTTTATGCAGGCAATTTGCCAGCTGGCCCCCTAAAGGGGGCATAAAACTCGGGTGGACCAGGAATAATGAGGACCAGAACCAAGTCCTCTGGAGGACCTGGAGTGGCCCACAGCTGATCACAGCCACACCAAGGGAAGGTGGTGGCAACTGCAGGAGGGGGCAGACAAAAAGAAGCTGAGCCCAGGAGGGCCCAGTTATTCACCAGAAACAGATCTGTGGATCTCAGAAACAGCCAGACATGACTGGGATAGCAGTGAGCCTGAATAGAGCAAGAGAGATGGAGCTGTGGACTATGGCAGATGCAAGCCAGAAAAAGGAAAGAGCACACCAGGAAGCAAGGTAATCCAGGGCTGGTAAAAAAACGTGCAGTCCGGTTACAGTATAGGTCCGCAGCCCCAAGGAGCCCGGCAGAAATCTCCCTTACTTAGGAGTTTCGGGAGGGGAGGGGCAGAGAACTCCCACACCAGTATAAAGAAGAGCCCGGGACAGGAAAGTGGGAGGAGCACAGAACCAGAAAGATGAGGAGGAGGAGGAGCAAGCCGACACACACTGTAGGGAACTATGAAAGCGATGTGGAGTGCTGGTAGGAGACTCTTGCAGAGAGTAAAACCTCCAGCGGGGGTTTAGAGCCAAGTCTACTGGCCCTGCAGGGTGCAGAACTGTTTGTTTATGTGCTGGGAGCTGGCAAAGCCCGACAGGGAAAATGGTGCCATAATAACCCTAATAGAGGGGCACTATAGACTTTCGTGGTACCGTAATACATGTAAAAGTGGCACAAGCCACTTAAGATGGACTCAAGGTGCTAAAAGAAATCGTGGCAACCTCCACAAGAGGCTCTGAGAGAGAGAGAGAGCCACCAAAGAGGGACTGACCACACGAAGGTCAGTTTTGATTTAGATCTTGGCTGCAAACAGCAGGAACAGTGCCACCGGCCAGGAGAGCCTTCTCTGTTTTCTTGTTTTCTTTTTGGTCTTTTGTTGGTAGATTGAAAGCAAGGGCACATGGCAGGACCAACTGGCTGGTCAGAACCCGGTGGAACGGGCGAGGATGTAGGGGTGGCGGAGACCTCAGGAACGTGGGACCCCGCGGGACATTGGTGAGACTACTAATTGGACTACACGTGCAGATAAATGAACCAACTCTGTTAACATCAAGTCATGGCAGACGAAACGTGGGCATGTAGATCATCAGTTAGAACCAATAACATCCTAGTCGAGCGGCAGGCGGTGTCCTACAGGTCTGCAAGTGACTGCAATACCTGACAATGACCACTAAACTGAAATATCATTCCTTTCATGTTATTATATATTTATGGTGATCCCATGCATCTGAGTAATTTTCCTAAGGCAGTTGTTTTATTCACTTGTGTGTGTGACAGAACTGAGTAGTTAGTTTTGACATTGTGTGCTGTGCTTTATTTATTAATGCTTTTTGATACATTCATAGATTTCCTAAACATTAGGGCTGCAAGGGACCTCGTAAGATCGTCAGGCCCAGCCCCCTGTCCAAGGAGCAGGAAGTCAGCTAGGGTCAAAGGATCACAGCAAGATAAGAGTCCAAATGTTTCTTGAAAGTGTCCAGAGTAGGTGCTTGCATCACCTCTGGGGGCAGTCTGTTCCAGGTCTTGGGGGCTTGGATAGTAAATAAGGTTTTCCTTATGTCATGTTTATAATGGGGTGTGGGGGACCTCCAGTTTTATGTTTGCCCAGGTCCCCAGTAAATCTTAATTTGCCTTTGCATAGGATCCTGTTTGTCATAGTTTCCAAATGTCTTTTCTAAAGGCCTAGGCACCCTCAACTCCTAGTCATCTACATATAAAGCACATGTAGTCTTACATTTGAAGGGAGGATCTTAACAGCTCAAAGCTTTAATTGCTACAAGACTATAAATACTTATACAAATCATAGAGAATATGGATTCCGCTATGAATTCATAGCCAGCTGATAGTTTTCTCCCTTTTGTAATGGCTTAATATAATTAATCATAAAAATGGTGATTTTAGAGGTTAGTTTAATGAGCCAAATTCTTATCACAGCTACAGCTATGTAAATATGGAGTAATTCCACTCTCTGCTGGTCATTTGTTCTGCATTTATACAGCTATAACTAGGCTTCTGACTTAGGGCTGTTAAAAAAGAAAAACAACTTTAGGTCAGGGCTCAGGTGGAGCCACCTGCAAGCCTCTACACATTCATTAATGTGCTTTTACTACTGTGCTTTAAGTTTAGTACCTCAAATATGAGGTACTACATAAAGGCACATTAAGCTGTGCTTATGCGGAGTTGCAGAAGTGAAAATTTTTTTAGGGATGCTTAATGTACAGTAGGCTATTCTACTGCACATTAACATATTAGCACTTTTTAAGTGTCGTTTTAATGTGCAGTAGAACAGCCTAGTGTGCATTGAAGAGCATGTATAGACATGCCCACTGAGTTGCTGCCTAATCCTGAAGAACCCTTAACTTTTAGGTGGCCCCCTGTTGCATTTGAAAGTCTTTTAGGTACTTACGTATCATCTTACGTGCATCCAGTAACTGCCCCTGAGCATGTCTACACAAGATGTTTACTGTGCAGTTGACTAATTAGCTGTAGATGTCTCAGCATCTACACATGTGCCCCTATTAGTACTTGTAAACACAAGTACTATCCTGCTGCAGAGTAAAAAACTAAGCAGCAGTGCACATGTAGGTGGCTGAAAGGACTGGCAGGGGCACAAGGGCGCTTCAGTGTGAGGGCTGCCTGCCAGCTCCCTTTTCAGCTACCTCATTTCCCAGCCAGCCCCTCTGCAGTATGCTGAGCTGGGGGGAGCAGCCTTGGCTGCCAGGCCCACCCCCAGGGTCCCCTGCCAGCCAGGGCTGCTTTGACTTGGCTCCACCTGCTGTGCATAAATAAACTGCAGACTTTATTGCTCTGGAATTAGTTCAAGGGCAGGCAAAATACAGCCCACAGGCCGGATCTGGTCAACCAGGTGATTTTATCCAGCTTGTGGTCAGGTGACTAACAGTTCACTATATCC